AGAACACTTAATTGTGCTCATGAGGAACCTGTACATAGATCAAGAGGCAGTCATTCGAACAGAACAAGGGGATACTGCATGGTTTAAAGTCAGGAAAGGTGTGCATCAGTGTTGTATCCTTTCACCATACTTATTCAATCTGTATGCTGAGCAAATAATCCAAGAATCTGGACAATATGAAGAATACAAGAATGCAGCATCAGGATTGGAGGAAGACTCATCAACAACCTACGATATGCAGATGACACAACTTTGCTTGCTGAAAGCAAGGAGATCTTGAAGCATTTACTGATTAAGATCAAAGACTACAGCCTTCAGTATGGATTACACCTCCACATAAAGAAAACAAAAATCCTCACAAGTGGACCAAAAAACAACATCATGATTAAACAGAGACAATATTGAAGTTGTCAAGGATTTCATTTTACTTGAATCCACAGTCAACTCCCATGGAAGCAGCAGCCATGAAATCAAACCTTGTACTGCAGTGGGCAAATCTACCACAAAAGACTGCTGTAAAGTGTTAAAAAGCCAACATGTTATTTTGAGGACGAAGGTGCGCCTGACCCAAGCCGTAGTATTTTTAATTGTCTCATATGCATATGAAAGCTGGACAATGAATAAGAAAGACCAAAGAAAAATTTATGCCTTTGAATTATGATGTTGGTGAAGAACGTTGAGTGTATCATGTAGTGCCAGAAGAGTGAACGTATCTGTCTTGGAAGAAGTACAGCCAGAATGCTGCTTAGAGGCAAGGATGGTGAGACTTTGTCTCATGTACCTTGGACATGTTATCAGGAGGGACCAGCCCCTGGAGAAGGACATCATGCTTGGTAAAGTAGAGGGTGAGTGAAAAAGAGGAAGACCTTCTGAGGAGATGGATTGACACAGTGGCTGCAACAGTGAGCTCAAACATTGCAACGATTGTGAGGATGACATAAGACCGGGCAGTATTTTGTTCTGTCGTACACAGGGTTACTGTGAGTCAGAACTGACTCGATGACACCTGACAACAACAATTTTGTAAGTGAGATTATCCCTATTTATGATCAGTGAAATTATGATGTTTATGGCAAGTGATTAGACTTTTTTGCATCCTTACTGTTGTGTTTTCATAAGATTTGTGAACATCAAAAGTGTTATTGGAGGCCATCTTAAGTACTTTAACTACTACCTCAATACCCCTAAGGGTATTACCGAAGAGTTTTCCCAAGAAATACTGTAGGGAGGAGGGAGGTGTGCCAGAAGTATCCATGATAAAAATTTTCAACTAGTTTAATTATTACAGAATTTTCTAAGGGTGTAAAAAGGCAAATCTAATTTGTAAGTATTCATGATTAAAAACAAAAAGAAGTACAGGTAGTCTACATCAGTTTTCAACACAATTTTTCAGAAAGACTGCAACCAGTTTTCTGCAGATTTTTCCCTTCATGATTGATTTCAGATCCCATGCTGATTAATCAGAAATATGTATATAGATTTTATTACTTTATCGTTCGACATCCTGCTTTATGTAAATGTGATGCTTTAAAATATTAAAAAAAAGATGACTCAATGGAAAGTTATTAATATTTCTGGAGATTTTTTCCCACTTAAAAGGGTCCTACCTAGAATTCCTTTTACTAGTAATTTATATTAGTGAGTTAAAAAAAATAACTGATTTTTATTTCCAGAATCACTACTTATATAATCTTATAAGACACACACTATTTCAGAAAATGCAGTAGAACTACGTCAGGATTTCTGTTAGTCCTTCACAATATGAATCAATTTTTTGAAAATTGATTTAAGTTAGGGCTGAAGACACTAGTCTTTTTATGAAGTACGGTAGTATGGCTACATTGGCTGAAAGTAATCTTCAAATGAGCACTTTTTAATTTAGCATCAATTATGTCATTGCATTTTTTTCATATTATAATGCATCTTTTCTTCCCTAACTCACGATTTCTTTAAGAATATATTACTGCCTAAATTACAAAGAACTTCTGAAGATTAAAGGCGTCTACAAGTTTTATCATTTGTAAATGAAAGTTGGGATAAATAAACACAGTGTTTGATAAAACGAGAGCTCTTAACGTAATATTGCTAATATTAAACCCTACTATTAAAATACCATGTTGATATTTAAATACTGCAGCATTTAAATATAAAAATGGAATAAGATTCTCATGAATTAATTTTCATGCTTTTTATTTTTATTTTTAGGAAACCATGAATTTGATTTTGGTGTGGATATTTTGGAAGAATACATGAAGCAAATGCACTTTACATGGCTTCTCAGTAATGTGTATGACAGATTTACTTCTGAACCTCTTGGACATGGTGCAGTAAAAAAAATCATTATTTGGAACAGTGTGAAAATTGGTTTAATGGGATTAGTGGAAGAAGATTGGCTAGATACCTTGGCTACAGTTAATAAGTCAAATCTAAACTATAGAGATTATGTTGAAGTTGCTAACCAAATAGCAATAGAACTTAAAGAAGAAGGAGCTGATCTTGTCATTGCAGTAACTCACATGAAGTGGGGAAATGATACAAGGCTTGCACAAAAAGCTCAAGGGGTCAATTTGATTTTAGGGGGCCATGACCATGATTATGGAATTAGGAAGGTGAATGAAACTTGGATTGTCAAAAGCGGATCTGATTTTAAAAACTTGACAAAAATAAACATAAGACTCTTTGGTGCATCTTTCCAATATATATTTGAGAAAGTGGACATTTTGAATTATTTGGAAGAAGATTCGTGTATTAAAGCAATAGTAAAAGATTTCACTCAAAACATACAGGTACTTGAGTATTGCTTATTTTATTCAGTAGAGTATTGATCACATGAACATTTATTTATTGGACAGTACTGTAACATAATAGTGTATGATAAATGAATAACCATCACAGCAAATGGCATCATCAATCACAATAAATCAATGCTAGTTTTTATTTTATTGGATTTTTGTTTTCATATTCAACTTATAAATTTGTTCTGGTTTTATAAGTAATGAGAATTTGTACTTACTTTAATATTTGGACTTCATCTAACAACACAACAACAATCATTATAGAAACATTTTTCTCAGCACTTCATATTCTGAAAGAATGTATTTCCTTAATATATTGCTACTCAAATTTAAGAAGCACTGGATAAACAAAAATACAGATGAATTTTATATCAGTTTGTAATTAAGAGGCGCTCTCCCCTTTCTTCTCTATACTCGGCTTCTTCAAACTGTGAGTGGTTTGTAATCAGGCCACTTAAACCTTTATGTGAGTTTGTGGCTTTGGGGCTTGTATTTACTTCCATGGTTCCATACAGATTACATAAATTTCAGTGCCCTAGAGGTGGATGTTTGTGTGTGTGTGTCTGTCTGTAAGACTTGCAAGAGCTGATGGGAAATATGAGCCAGGGTACTATCCTTTACATCTGTACATACATTATCTTATATTGTGTTTGATTTGTGAATTGATTGTGTATTAATGGAGCTGCCTGTCCTGATTTGAGTTTTAAGATTAATGGATGGCTATGTTTTGATCAGCTTGGTGTCACGAGTAATAAATATTTTTATAAAAGATTTATGGCTCTAGAAGTTACAGCAGAGAGTTCCTAAAATTTATGATAGCCCAACTTCTTAAGCAGCTCTGAAAAGCAAATGATTGTTGGAATGCATTTTGTGTAGTATTTTGCTATCCCTTTAGTACTTTGATATTTAGAGAGGACAAGTTTCAGTAATTGTCTGGTTTGGAATTAGAGGTAAAGAAGAAATGATCAAAAGGACAAAAATTCATTAAAAATAGGAGAAATGTTGATTTTAGATAGCTCATTTTTTTCTTCTTTCAGTATATGTTAGAAGAAGTTCTCTGCCCAATTGACATGGAATTAGATGGCCGTGAAATTACTGTAAGAAGATCTGAGAGCAATCTGGGAAATTTGGTAACTAATGCGATGTTGGAAGCTACTCGTGCTGATGTAGCACTGCTTAATTCAGGTGATTTCATTATTTAATTTGTAAAAAATATGAGTTAGAATGTCTAAAATCAATTCTTTAGCATAGTTGTTGTAGACTATTTTTATTACATGCGAAGATCCTGTTTAGAAATCCATTCCATGGGATCCATCCATGGGATCAGATCTTCATTTTATGTTATGCTCAGATATAGCATTCAGAATTAGATTGTTCAGTTTATTTAAACATTAAGCATCTGGTTTTTAAAAAGTTAACTTTTGTATTTAACGAGATTTTGAACGAAGATGCCTTGTGATTTGTCTGTTTTGAACTTGGTGTGCAGTCAAGTCTTAGTTATATGAGAAACAATGAATTGAAGTCTTTGACTGAAGTTCTTGCTTTATTACTAACTGTCCCTTGTTACCTGTGTGAGAGGAGGTTGTAAGAGTAATCTTGTAGGGTGAATGGGGGAACCTGCTCTCTAACCTAAGCATTTTTGTGCAGTAACAGTCTGAAATTAGACTAGCTAGGGTCCTAAGGTATTAAGAATCTGTGTAAGAACAAGATTAAAACTAAACCTTCTTTGAAACCAACCTTGATTCATATGCCATAATCCAGAACTTTAGACAATGGCTTAGAGTCCACGATTATTTCAAAAGTACAGAATGTGACATCATTTAACACCCTACCTACAAATCTTTTATAATGCCATTTTATGAAAATAGAAGTGATCTTTATCTTCCATGTGAGTCATTTAGGTTATTTTTTGGAAGCATTTCCTAAAAGTGAGATTTGTTAAGCCTTACAGCAGTTTTACTTAGGAAACCTTTGGAGTGCTCCTTGTGGAGATCTTTAAAAACAGATGATTTTTGCTTTGGGTTGCCTTAGGCATAATCTTGTCTGGAAGCACGGGGAGAGCTAGTGGCTTTTCAATTTTCACATGCTGTGATTAAAGAGAAAATGATCACAAACGAGAAAGTAAATCTTTCAAAAATGAATCTGCTAGGAGTCCCCAGGTAGTACAAACGGTTAAGCGCTTGACTACTAGCCAAAAGGTTGGCAGTGCAGACCCACCCAGAGGTGTCTTGGAAGACAGGCCTGGCAGTCTGCTTCAAAAAGGTCACAGCCTTGAAAACCCTATGGAGCAGTTCTACTGTACACATACAGGATTGCAGTGAGTCGGAATCAACTCAACCGCAGCACAAGATATAGCTACGTAATTAAACAAACAAAACCTGCTGCTGTCAAGTCAATTCCAACTCATAGCGACCCTGTAGGACAGATTAGAACTGCTCCATAGGGTTTCCTAGGCTGTAAATCTTTACGTAAGCAGACTGCCACATCTTTCTCCTGTGAGAGCGGCTGGTGGGTTCTAGCCGCTGACCTTTTGGTTAGCAGCCAAGTGCTTAACCACTATGCAACCAGGGCTTCCTTAGCTACATATTTAAGATGGAAGTAAACATGGAAAAGGGAATGTAAAAAGGTTAGAAACTTTTGGCAATTTGGTACATTATTTGAAATTTTTGAACATAATTGAGTCATAAAGATGGTATTTTCTGGGAAAAAAAAAATTAAATCAGTGTGTATTGTTTGATTATTTTCCCCCTTAAATTACTATAGGCACTCTTCGATCAAATCGGATACATCCGGTGGGGAATTTCACTTTGCATGATCTTTTGGCTATCCTTCCCATAGTGGACCCAGTTTTAGTTGTCAGAGTAACAGGTGCACAGCTGCTTGAAGCACTTGAAAATGGGGTTTATAAATACCCAGCTCTAGATGGGAGGTATGTGTATATATTTCTATTAATGTACTCACGGCTTTTTTTTTGTATAATGTAACTGAAAGAAAACTCAAATTTAAATATGTTTAAACTTCTAAAAATTTTTAACATTTTAGTGCACAAGAATGGTTTTTAAAAATTTCTCAAATGTTTTTTTCACATAATAGTGTGAGATTGGTAAAGTATTGCAATGTAAACATTATACTTCATATTAAAAATTAGGATTAATTTTAGTTATATATGCGTGTGTGTTTGGGTGGGCCCTTAATTTCAGTCTCTAAGTACTTAGAGTTCTCCCCCGTTTTTTTTTTTTTTTTATTTGAAAAATAATGTACAACTTTGTTGACTGGGTTTATACCCAAATCCCAATGCAAAATCCTTAAGTGAGTGAGGTTGGACCTCAGTATAGTAATCTATGGTATCATTATATTACATATACTACCATTTTAGGGCACCATAGTGGTGTGAGTTAATAAGAAAAGAGAGTGGGGACCAACCATCTGGAGAGAAAGCCTGTAGAAAAATATATTTTTTAATAAAATCTTATGCCAATTATGATTTGTTGAAAAATGTTGTTATGTAATTCACATACTATACTATTCATCAATATAAAGTGTATGATTCGTTAGTTTTTAATATGTTCACAGAGTTGTGAAACCATCACTATAATAAATTTTAGAACATTTTTGTTATCCCCAAAGGAAACATCATACCCATTAGCAGTCACTCCCCATTTCCCTTCAAACTCCCCAGCTCTAGGTAACCACTAATCTATTTTCTATCTCTCTGGATTTTCTATTCTTCACATTTCATGTAAATGGAATCATACAATATATAGGCTTTGACTGGTTTCTTTTACTTACCATGTTTTCAAGGTTCATCCATGTTGTAGCATGTATCAGTACATTATTCTTTTTTATGCCTGAATAATATTCCATTATATGAATATTCCACATTTTATTTATCCATTCATCAGTTAATAGACATTTGGATTGTTTTTACTTTTTGGCTTTTATGAATACTGCTATGAACATTCATGTGCAAGATTTTGTGTGGTCATGTTTTCATTTCTCTTGGGTAGATACCTAGGAGTGGAATTCTTGGGTCATATGGTAACTCCTTAGAAGTGAGGATGGTGAGACTTCATACTTACTTTGGACATGTTATCAGGAGGGACCAATCCCTGGAGAAGGACATCATATTTGGTAAAGTAGAGGGTCAGTGAAAAAGAGGAGCACCCTCAGCAAGACAGATTGACACAGTGCCTGCAACAATGGACTCAAACATACCTACTATTGTGAGGATGGTGTAGGACTGGGCAACATTTCGTTATACACAAGGTTGCTATAAGTTGGAACTTACTCGATGGCACCTAACAACAACAACATGATAACTCTATGTTTAATCTTTTGAAGAACTGCCACATTGTTTTCCAAAGCAGTGGTACCATTTCACATTCCCAAAAGAAGTGTATGAGGGTTCCAGTTTCTCCACGTGTTGTCTTCCTCTAGAGATCGATCCCTCCTGATGATATATCCAAAGCAAGCGAGTGGAACAGTGTTCTGTTGTAATCATAAGGTTGGCAAATTTTTGAAAGTGGATCGCCAGGCCTTTCTTCCTATTTCTTAATCTCAAAGCTCCACTGAAACTTGTCCACCATGGGTGACCCTGCTGGTACATGAAATACCAGTGGCAAAATTTCCAGTACCATAACAACATACAGAATTTCTAGTTATATCCCCTGCTTTATTCCTTATATTGGTAATTTGTGTCTTTTCTTGTTTTTTCTTTCTTTTTTTTATTGTTGTAGTTTAAATGAAGTTTACATTTCAAGTTAGTCTCCCATACAAAATTTTATACATACATTGTTATGTGACCCTAACTGCTCACCCCATTCTGCGACAGCACACTCTCTCTTTCCGCCCCTGGTTCCCCATGTCCATTCAACCAGCTCCTAACCCTCTCTACCTTCCCATCTCACCTCTGGACAGAAGCTGCCCATTTGGTCTCTTGTATCTACTTGAGCTAAGAGGCACACTCCTCACGAGTATCAGTTTATGTCCCACAGTCCAGTCAAATCCCTGTCTGAAGAGTTGGCCTCGGAAATTGTTTTAGTTCTGGGCTGATAGAGAATCCGGGGGCCGTGCTTTCCGGGGTACCTCCAGTCTCAGTCAGACCATTAAGTCTGGTCTTCTTACTAGAATTTGAGTTCTGTACCCCATCTTTCTGCTGCTCCATCAGGGACTCTGTTGTGTTCCCTGTCAGGACAGTCATTGGTGGTAGCCAGCCACCGTCTAGTTTTTCTGGTCTCAGGTTGCTGGAGTCTCTGGTTTATGTAGTCCTTTCTGTCTCTTGGGCTAATACTTTCCTTGTGTCTTTGGTGTTCTTCATTCTCCTTTACTCCAGGTGGTTGGGACCAATTGATGCATCTTAGATTGCC